GTGTGTAATGTATGTATAACCCTTAAACTCCCATGAGTGATCAAGACAGAGTTTCTCCTTACAATATCAATTACACTATTAAGCAGACAAGTGGTGAGAATAAAGAAAACAGTACTATAAACTAGGAGATTGGTAGTTGATCCAATGCCAAATTCTCTAAACTCATTTCATGAATTGTATGGCATAAGTGCACTGGATTTTGTGTTGAAAGGTCTGTTTCCAAGTTCCAGTCCGGTAATGGTTTTAGGTTCTTGAACAAGGAACTGTACTCTAAGTGTGTTGGGAGTCTTGTTTAGTGTCAGAAATAGTGAGTGGTAACCCTAGGATGTACCTTTATCTTATCTAGGGAGGTAGAGGCAATACATCAATGGCAGTCACTGCTTCATTCTACTAAGACAAGTTTAAGCTTGGTTAGTGTGGGCTGTCTGTCTCGTAGCCTGACTTTACCTAACATGGCAGTGAGTTACTTGACTGCCCTGCATTCCCCTCAGCATTTATGGCTTTCTTTATGGGCACCTAATTTTTTAAGCTAAGCTGCAACACCCCATGCTATTGGTATCAGCTGTAAACTAAATAGTGATTGTTAAGACTGACAAAAGTCATTCTCATCAGGCTGCTGATATGGCAGTGTTTTTGTGCAAAAATAGCAGAATCACATCTTCATGCCATCATGGCAATAGAAGATATTTTCTCTTTTATCTCTGCTATAATTCAGTGCTTTCAATAAGACCCAGCACCTGCTGGAGCTCCGGTGGGTATTCTGTTGTGAGTCGCGGGGTATATTTCACCTCACTCAAGTCGCAGTCACCACGCTAAGTCGCAACCAAGTCACTCTCCAGCGGGTGTTGTACCGAGGTAGCCACCTATTTCAAATCTTATTGAAAGCACTGTAATTACTTTTGTCAATTTTAATATCAAATTCAGTCAATAGCCCCCTAGGAGATTAGGGCAGTAACCATAAGAAGACAGTTTCTTCAACTATTTTTATTCATAAATTAATTTACTTGTAAAAAAAATTGGATGAAACGGACTGAAACTGTTGAGCACCTTTTTGTTTTTAGATTTGCCAATCATCACTTCTCAATCAGACCCTGATGTTCACATACTTGTTGGCTCACGGTTGAGCTTATACTGTGATGGTGTTGGCAGACCTGCTCCAAGCTATGAGTGGTTTCATAATGGTTCTCCCATTCAGGATGCAAAACACAGATGGTTGATAAAAGACAGTGTTTCTGCTGAAGATCATGGATTTTATTATTGTAGAGTGTACAACAATGCTGGGGAAGTGCATTCACACCATTTTAAAGTGACTATTGAAAGTTTTCAAGTGGCTTTTGACAGTGTTCCACCAGGTGAAATATGGGATAAATGGTTAACTTTAAATGATAAAATTCTTGGGTTTCTTTAGGTTTTGAAGTGTTTAGACTTTGCTGAATATATAGAACTTGGTATGAAGTTTTGCAGGCAATCTGCGTTATCTTTGTGACAGTGTCTTGAATTTTTGGCTGAAGTACCCTGAGAAACCCTGTAGTTAAAAACCTACAAAGTTTGCCGCCAACCTGCACCTGAATTCAACCTTGTGACAGGGTTTTAAGTTGTATATTATGTGCTGGTATCCTGACCAAGTTATAAAAGAATTGCGTATCAACCTTTTGTTTATTTGATATAATAATATAATTTTCAAATGCTTTTTCTACAGGGGTTGGCAGAGATCCCCATCCGCGTGGTCCAAGTGATCGAGGTAATAACATGATTTAGATGCTCCGTTCTTAACAGCTAAATGATTTAAAATAGAAGCCCAAGCATTCCAAAACAACATCAAGCAAATAGTTAGTCAATCTCTTTAAGTGTCTTGAGAAGTGTCTGTCCTCGGGAAGTGTCTATCTAAGGGAAGTGTTCACTGCATGGGAATCTCTCCAAAGAGATGATTTCTTCTCCATTCTCATAGAGGCTGTCCGTTCTCTTGGAAGGAATGAGTAGAAAGGAATTGTCTTCCCAAATGTATACATTAGGGATAGTGTCTTACAAATAGCTGTCTGGTCATAGAAATATTTTGTAATTTAACGAGTTTTCTTACAGTGGATATCCCTTTGTCAGGAGCATTAATTTTTTTGTGCTATTTTTGTTCTGTTGGGGTTGTTAATGTTGTTTTATTTTTCATTTGATGTTGTTGTTGTTTTTTTTCCTCTCTAGTTGCCAATAAAGTTGCCCTGTTGATTGGAAATAAAGATTACCGTCATCAACAACTTGGAAAGCTTTTTCATCCTATCAATGATGTTTGTGACTTTACAGGCAGACTTATCAATATGGGTTTTAAAGTAAATATTACTGCCACTCTTTTCTTGAAATTGTTACTTAAAAATCGTTTGCACACAAGGGTGGGGCATTCTCAATATTTTATTCATGAAATAACTAATAGAGATACTAGGAGAGCTCTGATTGGTCAAAACTTATCATTTATTGTATTGGTAAACCCATAGTTATTTTTATGAAAGCAGTAGACCGTGCTTTATATCAATTTCCTGATATAATGACCCACTTGGGATGTTGGAAGAACACTCCAAAAAAGTTTGCAAATCACACGCAGGAGGTACCTCATTTGCAAACTTTTGGAGATTCTCCCAACATTCCAAGTGCGTCATTATGCTGGCAAACCAATCGCAAGCGCAATGTATTTCTTAGATATTTATCGACTTTATTGCGTATTTACATTCCATAAGTCTGATCTTGTAAGTATTTGTTTCTTTGGGCGACTTGAATTTTTTTTGGGCGACTTGACTTTTTTTTTGGGCGACATGACTCGTTTGACCGTTTAGCCTTGCCTAGAAAGAGAATCCCCCCCCTTTATGCTGGTTGCTTCTAAGCTGATAGTGTACATTAAACCCTGTAAAATCCATAAAAGAGTCATTGACCTCTTTTTAAAAGACTGCTGCATTACCCAAATATCATTTCACCATTTACAGGTGGTTTCACTGGTAAACCTAACGCTGGAGGAGATGAGGAAAGCTCTTGTGGAGTTCTGCAGGCTTCTTGTTGAAGACACTTACGCTGTGTTCTATTTTGCTGGCCATGGTTTTGAGCGCGGTGGATTAAGTTATCTAATGCCGGTTGATGCATCGCATTCATATCGTTGCCAGGAGAACATGGCTTCGGCTAAAGTGCTCAAGGCTATGCAAGAAACTAAGGCAAAGTTAAAGCTTGTGTTACTCGACTGCTGCAGAACAGAGTAAGTTGAAAAAGGGGGTAAGTTTATAAAGAAATTGTGGTGCTGCGTCAGTGGGAGTAGCAAGGTAATTTTAGTTTTATCAACCGAGTTGATTATGTACACTGGCCACCGTAAAGAGTTTCAAAACTGACTTCACCAGCGTTAGCCCTTCGTCGGAGCGAATGGCAAAGGGCTTACGCTCGAAACGTCAGCTTTGAAACTCTTTACGGAGGTCAATTTACATTATAAACTCAGTTGATAAAACCAAAATTATAAAGTTTAGAAAGGTCAGAATTGTCTAAGTATCTACTTAGACACTGTAAGGGATAGGTTAAGATGAATCCATAGCATTCAATCAGAAATCTGCAGTCTTTGGAAAAAATGTATTGGACTCGTGCCCTAAATCGGTACTTGTGAAATTATGATGTTGTCTCCCCCAGTTTTTCCTCCTCAAGTCACAGATAGAATTGCACGTCAGCGAATAAAAAAGAATACCGTCCAGAAACGTGCTTGTGACACTGTTGTTACCAAAACTGCTGTAAACCGTTTCCTTTCAACAAAACTAGTTGCCTCGTAAATAAGAATTACGCCAACTGGCTTGAAGCATTCTTTTTCATTGTGGGATCAAGCGGGTAATGATAGGTTCATATTTTCCGCTTGGTCAGCTAATGAGAACACAATGACTTCGCTTCGTTTCGGTGTCGCGAAGTTAGTTATAACTAGGGACCTTAGGAAACCACGACGGCGACGGCGACGGCAACGAGAACGTGGAAAAACAAAAGATCTAATTGGCAGAACAATAGCTCAGCACGTGCATTTTGAAACTTTGTACATTTCTTAGTCGTCCTATGCAAAACAACAACGTGAAATCGCCAAAATTTGCGTCGTCTGCGAACCGAAACCGCGAGGGCAAATTATTTTAATTTCCATTTGGAACTCAAKGGCTACTTTATACGTCGTGCTGAAGTTGAGCTGTGGCGCTGTATGAGACACTAAGCTCGTGCAGCCATTTTAGAAATTCTGACTAAGAGTAGAAATTCATTTTTTAATCGAAGTCTTCCTTGGCGTCGCCGTCGTGGTTTCTTAAGGTCCCTACTTATTGAACTTATTTCAACTGCAACTCAGAGTTTTTGCAAAGGATGTTGCCTCTCAGTACTTGCGTCATAGGCGGATTCATGCTGACGTCATTGTTTATACAGGAAATTCGTGTTAGAGTTAGAAGTTTGACCAATACATGTCAGCAAAAAGTCGTACTATAGACCACTTTCATAAATGGCTGCCGGATTAATATTCTTTTGTTTAAATTTAAATTAGCCTTTCTGGCCTCGTTCTCCAGTACAAAATTCAAAAGATTACATTATCTCAAGCGAGGCCACTCGGGCAAATTTAAATTTAAACAAAAGAATATTAATCCGGCAGCCATTTTTGAAAGTGGTCAATTAGACGATACAAAGTTAAAGCCTTTGTTTTTTTCAATTCCTTTTATTTTTTTAGACCTGATTATGAGCCGCAGAACAGTCCATTACTGAGCGGTGATTTACAAGATATAAAAGAACCGAATGTGGTAGTAGCATTTGGCTGGTAAGCAGGCCTTTCTTCTCTGTTCCAGACAGGTGTCTGAAACGTCTTTTAACCCTTTCACTCTGAAGACCTCATTAGTAAATAAATTCTCCTTACTGTCTGCTATACAATTCTTATCAGGTGAGCTTGGAGAATTTGGTCTTAGATCAACTAATAAAATGCCCTAATTGATATTTTTCTTTTATTTTTTCTCATCATTTGTCTGCTTGATATGGCATCGATATTTTTAGTAGAGGTTCTGAGCTGGAGCCCGCTTCTCGAAAGTCCCGGTAACTTAACGGGCCCCTAAAGCGTTCTGTTTTCATTCAAGATGAAGATTTCAAAAGTTTTAAAAAGTTTACAATAAAACTTTTGGGTTCCAGAACCTGCTTTCTCATCCTTTAAATTTTGATTTTAAAACATGGCTTTGCAGGGCTCGAAATTAACGTTAACCCGTTCACCAATGGTTAGTAATTTTCAACATTTGGTTACTAAAAATGTGTCCAACTAACCCGTACTGGTTAGGAAAATTTTCAAACATATTAAAACATTGGTAGACCTCAGGATAAAGAGCACGTAGACCCGCCTCTCAGAGGAATACTTAGAATACTCAAGTTGTTTAATCAACTTAAACTCTTTTTGGAGAATGTGCTGTGGATGTACTGTTCTTGATTAATCATGGTAAACGAGAGGGAAATAAAATTGGTACATAATTGCCGACGTTTTTAAGGTTTAACCATGCAATTTCAGCTACTCTTTAATTTGTCCTAGTCGTTATTATCAAAATGTTCAATATTTGAGATATCGTAACTTGTGAGCTTGGATACCAAACTTTATAATTTGGTTAGTAAAAAAGATGTCGACTAACCCGAAGGGTTAGTGATCCAAAAATTAAATTCGAGCCCTGGCTTTGGGTCCGTTAAGTTACCGGGACTTTCGAGAAACGGGCCCCTGGTCACTCTTGGGAGTTTAAGGGCTAAGTTTATGCGTATCATAATAAATCAGATCTGTGCCAAAGTCCAGCAAAAGTCTTCAAGAATTTAAGCAAATTCAAGTATTAACTCCAAATGACACATGCGTAACTGTCTCGGCTATGAGGACAATTCGTCACTATCCTCAGTCCCCCTCTTTCTCCCTGTTTCCTGTCTTCTCCCCCTGTAGTGTTGTTAAGAGGTTTCATTCACTAGCAATCTCTTTCTTTTCACTAACGGAGAGGGACATTCTACTAAAATTTATTCATTTGTTAGTCATCGGTATTTAGTAACATTTATTTGTTTTTAAGCCGTTAAAAAAAACTAAACACACCCTCCGTCTCTACCCTCGAAAGTCATTTTTTGTTGTAGTAAGCATTACAGGTGGTTGACTCTGATTCAGGTTCTCGTAACAAAAGTGTCATCATTTTTACGCGTGCTACATGATCATTTACCCTGTCTTTAAGCAGTTTAATACTCGTAACCTTCGTCAAGGAGTTTCTTTTGAATTGAGTAGGAAACAGTTAGGTCATTTTTGCAGGGAATCTAAAGATTCCACAGTTATTGTATAATTCTTTTAGGAGCTAATTAAATGGTGAGTTTGTTTTGTCGATCTATTTTCAGTTGCCCTCGTTCAAGTGTGTTTGAATGTGAGCAGGAGAAGAATGGTTTTTTTGCCAAGCACCTCCTGAAAGCTATTTCGGATGAACACAGGAACAAATCCGTCGAAGAAGTTTTGTTACATGTTAGTCGTGGTAAGAGTGTGTTGAACTACTTTACTCCAAGATAAGAGCACTTTTCAATTGACTGTCGAATGACCAAAACCAAAGTAATCACAACTACCAATCAGATTAAAGGTTAACATCATCATTAACCAATGAGAACACAACTTAAAAACAGGCAACCACTGGAGGCGCGGGAAAACACGGGTGACCAAGTTGCATTTAATTGGTTGAGATAGTGGCGCGAGTTTTCTAAAGCAATCACAGCGACACAGGATCGCTGTTGATACTCAATTAAAACTGTTCCATAGAGCGCATCACGATGGTACTGTAATGTCAAAACCCAAATAATCACAACAAGAGCTGTCACAAAAAAGAAAAGGATTGTAAAGAGCCAATTTAAAAGAAGTTTAAAATATTCAAGATTGGAAGCAGCTTGAATCCGTGTTATGTACTAGATATTTGATGTGCAGTTCTGTAAACTGAGCTCCGAAGCCACAACGTAGACAAGCAAGGGGCTCAATCGCCGTCAAAGCCAGAATTTTTCAATCCATTTTTCTGCAACAGCAGTTTATAAAGCAGTTGCTTTGGTTAGCTATAGTTTACCTCCTGACTGATTTAGAACACTCACGCGATTTTCTCCACTAAATCAGGTTCAAACTGAAACCGATTGCCACATGGTCACTTGCGTTTTCCTGCGCTTCAAGCGATTTACTTGTTTTTACTTGAACTTCTCATTGGTTCCCTGTGATATTTTCTTTTGTTTTGATTGGCTGTTGTGATTGCTTTGATTTCCTTCCTGACTGGTCTCTCACTCGCGCCATTTTTTCCACCAATCAGATTCAAACTAGAACCAATTGGGACACGGTCACTCGCGTTTTCCCGCACTTCAAGCACTTTGCTTGTTTGTTCTTCAATTTCTCATTGGCTACCTGTGATGTTTTTCTTTGCTCTGACTGGCTGTTGTGATTACTTAGATTCTGGTTACCTCTATCGTTGAGAGAAAACGAGGTGACATGTTCCCGTAATAATGCTGACTTCATAACTCTAACTGACATTTCTGCATATCGTTTTTAGCACCTTCTGCGAATTGTCAATCATGTTAATGTTGTATTTTCATGAAACCCTTCTACACTTATTTTTCTTTGTCAGGTATTCACGAAGAGAATCTCGTGGACTATCTCACAAATCAAAAACAGATTGTGAACAGAATAACAACCTCAGTCAAACCCATGAGTCTTTGGACTCCTGTGGACAACACCTCCTTGAATCCTTCCGCTGAAGCAGCAACTGCCAAGTGGCAATCAGCGCATGGTAAGTTTAATATCATGGTCTAAAGTTGTGGTTCGGCTCCCTTGGGAGCGCTTTTCTATTGTGTGTCGTTATACCTTTAAGAACCGATGAGAACTTAAAATAAAACAGTTGAACCGCCTAAAGCGCGGGAAAACGCAGGTTTTAGTTTTGCATCTGATTGGTTGAGGTAGTAGTGCGCGTTTTCTGCCAATTCAAGACAGAACGAAGTGAACCAATGCAATCTGGGATTACTTCTGACACTCAATAAAGATGGCTGTCTTTTTTCTGCAATAGAGAGCATATTGATAGGTTGTCGTAAAACCAAAACTGAAGTACGTAATCACAATCAGATGAAATGAAAATATGACAAGGAACAATTGACAATTCAATTAAAAAACAAGCCAAATGCTGAAAGTGCGGCACTGGTAAATAGCGACTGATAGACGTACTGCTACTCTTGGTTCTCGTGTAGGGTACTGTTGTCAATTTATATTTTTGCTCTTTGTATCAGAAATTCCAAATGACCCGGTTACCGTCTATCAAGATGACAAAGTTAGGGTTGAGTTGATTTTTAACGCAGAGGTGTCAAACGTCCTTATAGTGAATGCACGAGCGCTGGGAGAGGACAACTTGGACTTGAATGTCACGTTTGATATGTCGAATGTAAGTAAGATGGTTTATAAGTTAAAGCGCTCCTACATCGAATTTCTTAAAACCAAACCTGTAATGATGAAAATGGCCAATTAGAAGAAAGGTCGATGTTACAAGTAGCCAATGAGAACTCGAATGAAAAACGCTAAAGCTAGCCACCTGAAGCGCGAGAAAACATACGTAACGTGATTGGTTCTCGTTTTGAATGTGATTGGATTAGGGGTTGGTGGGAGTTTTCTTGCATTGGGGAGAAGAAAACTAAGAAACCGCCTCCCGGTTAGCTCAACGGATAGAGCGCTGGACTGTTGTGCGGGGGGTCGAGGGTTCGAGCCCCGGCCGGACCAACACTCAAGGTCTTAAAATAATTGAGAAGAATATGCTACCTTCCAATAACATCAAGAAATGGTTAGACATTCTATTCTTCTGGGATAGGGACGAATAAATGGAGGTCCCGTCTCCTGCAGGGTTGGGGTAGGAGACGTTAATTTCCCACGCACGAGATTGGGGTGGGATGGGTGGGTTAATAATATTCGAATGTATTCAGTACGAGTCGCTGACTCATTGTACATCTCGAATTGAAATAAATGAACAGACAGACAGACAGACAGAAACCTCTTATCTCGACAAAAATGTTCTCAAGTAAAATGGTAGATTAAATTGTTACGGGCGTATGAGAAAAAAAGTTGTGGAAATTCAAGGCGAAGATTTGAACCTTAAACTTTCCGAATGACGCATCACACCATCCTTTTGATCACAATTACCTGGGATTGTCACATGGGCATAACGTTACCATCCACGCATGTCCTGTTGCTTAGCAACGATTTAGAAAAATTTTAAGCTCACGTATTCGATTTGGAATATTGTCTGGTAAGTAATACTGCTGTACACAGTACCTCATGTAGCATTTTTTCCATCTTCAGGTTACGAGTGGATGCTGTGTCGCGCGAGGTGACATGTTTGGAAAAAAATGCCGGCCATCAGAAGCAACTTTGAAAGTCAAAGACCTCCAACGGCTCACGGTAAAGAACTCTTAGAAAAAAGACGGACATTCCTACGAGAGTAACAATTCAGTTTACTCGGAAACGCCAACCCTTTACAACCTAACATTGGTATTCAAATTCTCCACGTTGTTCTCTTTACACCCCCTATGGTACTGACAAAGAGAATTTGTTTGACAATCAGCAGCCCCTTAAATTGGGGATCATTTCCTTAATTCTCACGATCTTTACGTTTGATTCAAAGGTTATGCTGTAAAATGAAATTATAAGCCGGTCAGTTTTGGGGCTGGGATTGAAGTGTTAATGTCTAGTCGTCTTTTCCACTCTACTGGCGTAAATTTCAAAAGAAAATGTGTTGGTTGTTTGTCCTGCATACTTCTTTTCACTGCCATGGGTAGTATTTTTGTGTTCTTGGGCGCACAATTTAACTGATCTTTACATGTCACAGCTCCTCCCCTAAAGATGAAAAGGCTGTGGGAGTTAATAAGCCTACCAGGTGATGGGGTGGGTAGAGTGTGGTAGCAGTAACATAGCGATCCACCTGAGAGGTCCTTTCCTCGGTATCTCAGTACACAAACTTTTGACTTTTATATCCTATAGTAGTATCGTTTTAGAGTACAGGAGTGCCTTCACTGACTCTTCAGCGAATTTTGGATCGTAAATTTTTATTGATTTGTTTTTCCTGAGGCGAACATAGAACACGACCTTAGACAGTTTGAAGCAGTAGTCAGGGTAGGGCGAAAACCTGGACAATTATTAATTACAGTTATTTTTACCTTTTTTTCCAGGAACCGTTAGTCTTTAAACTTACTTGTATTTACACATTAAATGGAGAAAGGCAGCAGAAGTCTATTAGTTACACAATGGAAGAAAAACCTCTCTATGCCAAGCTGGTCACACATTGGTGACAAATCGAAAGATCGAGTGACCCACTCTGGTCTACCACGAGTTCAAGAAGTATGCCCCGGAAATAGTGTAAATTTCCCTCCTAAATTATAAAGTAGACATGAAATTAGGACTTGAACCGCATTTGGGATTCACAAGAGTAACCAAATCTTTTCATAATTGTCTTTAAATGTGATTTTCCTAACAAATTGTCACACTTTTTTCATTCCGTTGGCGATCTGTGAAGAATTAGGATCGGAACAAAAGGACATTCTTCACTCAGTTGATAACTTACTTTGCGATAACTAAGCAAGTAGCTGTTGGTAATATGCATTTTGTCTTTTTGCGCTTGCGGCCACGTTACTAATTTTTTTTTTTCAAAATGGCGGTCTCCATAGCCAAAGTTTGGCACATTTAAAGCAAGTTTTAATTTTTATATAATTACTCTAAATGGCAGAGAGATAAATTATTTGGTTTCTGAAGCATACTTTGTTTAAAGACAATTGTAAAAACATTCTGATGGCTCCCTAACTCAGTAACTCGTCCCCACTTTTCTTCCGAGCATTGCACTGATGGAAGGGGCAGACACCTACCCATCACACCTCGCGCTTTCGCTACTGCGCGCGGTCTGAAGACGAATCGAGACGAATGAGATGTTTTATATGAATTTAAATACTACGTTATTGATCGGCCGGTTTACCAGTACGACGTTATGTTCAGAACCTGCCGCCCGTCATGCCATGCCAGTACCATTTTAACCGCTTCCTGCTCTAATTATTTGTCTACATGATATATTTAAAGAAATATTTTTCCCGTCTTGTCACGAGCGTGGGATCCCCACGAGGAATCGAACGTCAGACGTTCAGATTCTGTACTGAGATGTTCTACCACTTAACCGTTGCTAAGTTAAATGTGAAACGGCCTGTTCACTTTTAGGACCAGCGGTGTTGAAAGTTTCGTGTGAGTAAATAGGAAATATTCAGTAAGTAATATAATTGATTTTGAGCTCGGTTACGTGATAGGAAAATTATTTAATTTGCAAAATTAAGCGTACTTTAGGAAAATTTTCTCTCAAAGGAGTTAATAGTAGAGGTTTGACCTCGAAATTATATTTTTCTGCTGTAGATTAAGCACTGAGGGCTAAGAATGAGCCAAATTTAATGTGAATGTTGAAAGATGGAGAAGATGCAAAAGGATTTCAATTCACGAAGTTGAAAACTTGGGATTAACATTCAAGCACCGTCACTCTGCAGTATTCAAGTTTGCAGCAATATCAGTTTAACTCACAAGATCTTATTGGTTGTTGAGTAATTCTCCCCTCTTGCTGCTACACATTTCCTTGTGCATTAGTTATAAGAATTTGGTGTTAGACCAAGAAAACAACTTGTACTTGATAAGTTTGAGTATTCTCATTACCTGTTTGCTTGTGATTTCTTGGATGTCAAAAGGAGAAGTTACATGTTCATCACTCCTGGGAGTTTAAGGGTTCAGTAGAAGACCACGACGTCAAGCCATTCTAGTTTGGATCTGTTGAGACAATATTTAAAGTAAATGCCCCCTTTTTCAGTATTTCAGACTCATTAACAATATCATAGAAAAAAGTACTTTCTCAAATAGTCTGTTGAGTAAATAATAAACAAAGCTATAAGCGAAATTGTTTCAGATATAGTCCAACTATATTTAAATCTTAATTAATATCATTTTATCACTTTCAACTGTAAAATACTGCAACTTCAATAAATTTTTAAGAGACCATTGTCGATGAAAAATTTTAATGTGCATTCAGTTTGCTGCTTCAAGCCGGCGTCAAGAAGATATTGAGGCAGTTTGTTAAAGCTCTTTTTGTGATACAAAAACAAACATTTATCGTATCTAGGTTATTTGAAGTATTAAAATAAAACAAATTCCTATCGATTAGCAATAAATTGAATTAAATTTGATGTTTCACGTTCCTGTTAATCTCATTTTGCACCTTTTCTCTCCCAATTTTTTTTCACAGACAATATTAATTTTCTGAATTTAGAGTCTAACATAGAGAAGAAAGAAAGCGACTCTATTCCGCCGAGTGTTAGTATTAGTACTCAGCTTTGGGCAGGCTATTAACATACCACTTGAAAGCCTATCGTGAGTCTTAATGGAAGTTAAAAACTCCGTAAGCAATCTTTCGATCGGATCAAAGTTAGCACAATTTGGCGTAAACTTTGGCTATGCCGTGTGGTTTTGCCATGTACTTTTTCTGGATGAAAGCGAGCACCCATTCGAAATTCAAGTGAGTACAAAAAATAAACCTTGAGATAGAGCATATTAGGAGAAATACCACAATGCTTTATACAGATGTTGTTTACTTCAGTTACTGAGCTTACGTTATATCTACAGAAGGTGTAAAGATTATTCAGTATGTATTAAATTATGTGGGTGACTTGACGGAAGTATATTTTGTTTCTGCAGGACATTGATAGCGCGGTCTAAAATCAAGTAGAAAGTTAATTCGCTTTGCGTGAGGTGCCATTCGAAACGTGGTCGGGACGAAATAGCATGCCGGCATGCTATCATAGTCAGAGCATAATGCCGGCACAATGATAAACTTCTTAAAAATTCCCCGAAGTTACAGCAATAATTTGAAAACAATTTTCGGCTTAATGCCATGTTTTCGGGGGTGACACTCGATAGCATGTTGGTCAATTTCCTAGCATAATTTATCTGACCCTAAAACGAAACATATTTATCAGGCTGGCCGTGATATAGTCTTTTCTTGTCAAACTTCCCTCGCAATAAGGACACGTTTACAGGGGAGATTGCCTCCCGAACTGAATGCCAACAGAACTGGGCTGAAAGATCATTGACGAGTCATTTTGCATTAAGATTAGCTGAATAATCAGTTTGAATAGTAAGGTTTCTTCTTCGATCTCCCTTCAGCCTTTTTATCTGACAAAAATATGGAACAACAAAAAAAGGAAATAGATAAAACATTTCTCCACCATTACTTCTTGATGAGAAAAGGGCCCCTTGGAGTTACTTTGGTATTTGAAGGTGTCTTTCGTAGTTTTCACTATTCTCCGCTTTGTGCTTTGAGGGGGAAGATCGAAGCAACACAGCTTTGAGAGATAGTGTCAAAAATCTAACTGTTTTTCGAAAGAATGTTTTTCAATAGAGTTGTGATACCTATAGTTGTGTGAACTGAGTTGACAGGCGATCAGGCGCCTCCTCAGTACCGCGGTGGCTTATGGATCCTCGAGAGAAAGCTTTTATAATAAAGAACCCCACTGACTCGAACTCGCTTAACTCGAACTCCCCGGTAACTTGAACAAGGTCTGGTTTTTCTTTCCCTTATTTTTTCCAGTCGTTTGTTACCAGCTAACTGGAACCCCTGCTAACTCGAACTAATTATTGTTTTCCTGGGAGTTCATGTTAGAGGGTCTAGATGGGGGGTACGAATGTCGGTTGTCAGTTAAAATTTCGGCCATTTCTCAGTTTTCAGTTAAATTTTCGGCCATTTGTCAGTTGTCA